CCCTCTTCATAATACATGTCGCTCGGAATTATTCTATAAACATATAGTAAAGAAAGCTATGCAGGATTGCTTACACCTTAAGTGAGTTACCTAAAGCATAGCAGCAAAAATATGTTCTAACATCATGGAATCAATATTCAACAACACTGAATATTACCAGGCAGATTCTCTTCACACTCAGGTAAAGTACAGATATGACATCTCTGCCTTTTTTAAATCATAAAATATTCAAGACATGAGTATTTTGTTAATCGAAGAGAGAAGAAGCAACTGCCATTCGAACTAAATGTTTTATGTTAACTTGTAAAAAGGATGCATAAAACATGTTTTCAAAATATTTGCTTGTATTTATTACTCTGTAATTGTGAATGAAGACTAGAACAGTCTGTTTAGCATTAAATGTTGACCTGCTTGCGACCTAAAAACACAAAATAGGGCTGTATTGAATATATTTTCGAATATGAAATATGACATGTCACTGCCCCAGATACATTAGGTTAGGTAGAGATGGTAAAATATAGAAGTCATCATAAGCTGCTTTATTTTTTTTATTTTTTTTCAAATAATCCCTATTGTAGTTGCTTAGTGGGGTCATTACACAATGGGGCAGACATATCCAGATGAAAATATAATTTAGACCCATCCAATGGTAAGCATCCCTATGATGAGCAGAAAGCTGGAATACTTTTTTTCAGACACATTCTACCTTATATTTATAGTTGCCTGTGATTTGTTAGAAAGCAGTGGGTTTCCTGGATGTTTTCTGGATGTTTTGTGTAGCATATATGTTTGCACAGGGTTCTCTCAGGACTTTGCGATATCATCTTGGCACGAGTTTACAGCCATTCGACTCTGGAGGAGCTGGACCAGGAGGCATCTATCCCCATCATTAACGGACTCTCTGACCTATATCACCCCATCCAGATTCTGGCAGACTTCCTTACCTTGCAGGTAGCATTTTACCTCAGTATACCATTATTCATATAATGAACCCACTTAACCCTCACTGTTTTCTTCTAGGAGCATTATGGATCTCTTAGTGGACTTACAGTGAGCTGGATTGGAGATGGAAACAATGTCCTCCACTCTTTTATGATGGCCGCTGCCAAACTAGGGGTTCATCTTAAAGTTGCCACACCAAAGGTTTGCGTCTTCTCAGACTGTCATGTGTTTTCATGGGATCACCCTAAATTCATTGTTATCCACAGGGTTATGAACCAGACAGGAGTGTCACTGAGGAGGCACAGAGGCTCTCCATAGAAGTGAGGTTTTAGACTGATTAAAGTCATTCTTGGTTAACAACATTCACCCATTCTAACCATGGTTCTGTCTCAGCATGGGACCCAACTCATTCTGACCTCTGATCCGATGGAGGCTGCCCATGGCAGCAATGTGTTGGTCACTGACACTTGGGTCAGCATGGGTCAGGAAGAAGAGAAGAAAAGGAGGCTGAAAGACTTCCAAGGATACCAGATAACCATGCAGGCAAGGAAGAAGCTTGTGTAGTTGGTGTTTAAAGATCAGTTATGATACTCCACGGAGTCAGTCAGTCATATCCTTTGATCATTTTCACATTTTCTCATGTGGGGTACGACTAAAGGTCAACGTGCTGGTGAAGATTCTTAGTCATCCCGGTCATAGTCATTCCAAAAAAAGTTAAAGACAAACCACTTGACTTTTTTTTCCAAGTTTGAAGATGTTTCGCTTCCCATCCAGAGGAATTCTCCATTCAAAATGTCTGTAGTAGTGTTGAGTTCCAGGCTTTATATAGAAGCCAAACAAAAGCATTGTTATGGCTTAGCAAACATCAAAGCATCACTCCTGTAAGCTGAGAGAGAGTTACATTATAAGTTCTGTAATTGTAGAATGACAAAAATATCACAAGTAAATTTCTTTTTACACCTGTTCAAATTTTAAGTTCAAAAACACAAATTGTGTTCTACCAGTTGCATATCAAAAACATCTTACAGTCTCAGTTTCGCTCTAAATAGCCCAGAACTTATGTTGCAAAACTACTTGTGCATTGTAAGTTTGGAGCTTTTTAATTTCATTTTTTTTCTTCTTTCACTATGCAAAAAATACACAGTACACAAATTGTGTTCTGTGAGTTGCACATCAAAAATGTCTTCCATTCAGTTCGCTCCAGCTGATCCGAAACAAAATGGGGAAAACAAATCTTTATTAAAATCTTCATTTTTTTTTCTTAACACAAATACAAACCAATGATTACAAGTGCACGAATCTGCGGCTGTGATTCCCAAATTTAACTTCAAAAGTTACACCCTCATTTTTACTTTTGCTCCAAATTGATTCGTGACTTGTGGGTAGTACCCTTGATCGTGCAGCAGAGGGCGGTGCCTGCTCGATGACCCTGTACCAAAGCTATGGATGCTCTTCCCAATTATGTCAGTGTTTAAGTTTGCCTATCAAATTAAATCCCAGTGTAATGACTCAAAGTTTTGGGGAGTAATGAGAGAAAATGTAAAATGTCAAACTGGTATGACCATGTCTGCAATGCTCTGTGATTACGTTCCCCATACTAGATGTCTTTCATCTGTCTATATATTGAGGAAGTAGGTAGTTCAGGACACATAACAGATTTTAAACAAAGTTTTATTAATTTATCTTTAGTTTGTAATTTTATATCACAGTAGTTCAACAAGTCTGAAACAATCTGTTACTAAAACAGAACTTTGATAAAAAAAAAAAAAAAGCTTTATTAAATGTATAATTTGAGTGACTTAGAAATATAAATTCTATTTTTTGGGGGGGTATGGATGAAAATAGACTGGAAGTGTGGCCAAACCAGACTGGACCTTCCTTCACTGCCTCCCCAGGAAGTTGGAAGAGGTGGATGACCAGGTGTTTTACTCGTCCCGCTCCCTTGTTTTTCCTGAAGCTGAGAATAGGAAATGGACCATCATGGTAAGATGATGGGGAAATTCTTCACATTTGTTATTTCTTCTTTTTTCTGTTTAATAATTTCACCTATTTTCCTTTTTTAGGGTTTGATGGTCTCTCTTTTGACTGATTATACTCCACAGACCTCTATTCCTAAATTTTGACCTTTAAGGTGGAATTTACCTTGGACTCTCTGAAAATGTTACATGTTTTTTTTCCAAATGATGGGTTTACTTTTTTTATTTATGTTGTTGTTATAAATTATATGGAGAATCGTTTCATAACAAATAAAATAATTAAATACCTCTATTGATAAATTATTAATAAATATTCCACAAAATCTATAATATATAATATACCAATGAAAAAATACATATTTTAACAGAACATTTTACCAAATTTTAATTTATTTCTAGATTTATTTATTTATTTAAAGATTGTTTAGATATTTATTTAGTTTTACCTTAAATGGATATTCATTTATGTTTTTTTATTTATTTATTTAATTTTGAATGAAATTGTTGTCCGTAGAATAAAACATTATCTGTCGTATTTAATGCTTTTACAGTTATCTGAACTTGATGGAGAGTGCCTGAAATAAAGAAATATATAAATATGTATGAATATTATTTTTTTCCCTTATTTTGTGTTAAAGTCACAGCTTTATCTAAAATCAGGGTTTACTTTAACATGTAATTCTGTTTGTTAGAAAAATCCAACAAAGTTTGAACCATGAACTGTAAAACAAAAAAAGTGATTTAAAAGGTTTAAATTCTGGTATTTATTTTTTGGGAAAGTGCGTCACCTCGTGGTTAAAAGCATTAATGCGTCACAGTCCCTGATTGGAGGACTGTAGGTGACGTGTGGTTGTTTAGGGTGGGAATTAGAGCTCTTTTCGTGGATCCGTATCATGTAGCTTAGCTCAAGCAAAAAGAGGGAGAATTCTTTCAACTTCTATCCAACTTCTACATGGCGTAAGGCCTAACATAATACTTTGATTTAATAAAAATAAAAAGAAAATTTTGGACATATGCATGGGGATGCATACATTTCCAGAACACATGTCGCCTAAAGCTGGTATACAGTCATTAATTTATACAAGAGGTCTAAAAGCAGCACAAAAAGTACAGATGTGAACTCATAAAACAATTATTCTCATAAAGAATATATATTTTGGCCTGCTGCCCAAGATCCAAATATTTTCTAATATCACAATGGTATTTTTTTTTTTATTCTACTCTATTATTTAACTCCTATAATTACATTCTATCAATAAACTCTTTAACTCGTAGCTATGATATTATTCTCATATTTTTTCTAAGGTCCATATTTGTGTGACCTTTTTTTTTTTCATAATATTTTTGCTGCTGTAAACACCGGAATTTTCCCTATAGTGGGACAATAAATTGATTTTCTATTCTATTCTATTCTATTATTTTATATTATATTATATTCCTCATTATCTAGAATACAGAATGCAGCCACTTGAAAAATGATACTGAAAGCACAACTCTAAATAGGGACCACAGCAATTTTAGCCAAAATTAGTGAGGGGAAAATTCACTGCTCCAGGCAGTGTTTTCAGGCATAACAAACATGAACTTTAGCTCTACCTGTGTGCGTCACAAAACCGCCTGTCCGAATAGTGACCTGGTATCAAAGGAGTCATTAAAGGCATTCATTCTCTGCTGCCAAATACACACGAAAACATATTGATTAATAAACAGTTCACTGAATGAGCTAGCAGATAGAGTGGGCTCGTTTGCGGGTGTCACATTTGTAGCGGGAAGCTATGATCTCTGTGTGTGGTCCAGTCCGAACAAATCAGGTAACTTCATTCAGAAACAGAAAACTCTCTCAGCGAGTATTGATCCGTTGGTTTAATAAAAAAAAGAAAATACAGCAACAAGCGAACACAAAATTTGTGCTGCTCCCCAAAAACAATGTACAATTTATGTATCTGTATGCACAAAGTATAACAAATCCAATAAATTATTTATTTAATGAAAGAAATTAACCAGTGGGATATAACGGCCTTTTTTTTTCGACGACCACCCACGTAGAGAGCGGCAGCTCGGAGAGGGAGCTGGAGCTTTGGGTGGGAGGAGGAGGAGGAGGAGGAGGAGGAGGAGGACGCCATTGCAACCACAGCTGGTCGTCCGAGATAAATCTGAGGAAGAACAAAACCATACCAAAGTTTCCCCACAATCACCGGCTTTGACCCATTTCTCTCCATTTCCTCCCGTCTTTCTTCGGGTTGTGAGGAAATACAAAACCAAGATGGATGTTTCGTCTTTGCGTAGAAGAATGTGGAGCCCCAGCGCCGAACAAAAGCAGGTAAAAAAAAAAAGGCCGAGTTCAGGGAGGGGGGGAATGGGGGAAAGTTAGAGCTAACTTAGCTAACTAACGGTAGCTGAATATGACCGTTACACGCTCCTGTTCTCCGTTTAATTCAATCCCTCTGTTCAGAAAAACCATTAAATTCCACAGCTTTAATCACTGTTGTCACCAACAACAGAAATATGCTAACAGACGAAGCTATAAAGGCTTAACTTTCAGCAGAGTTCAATGTTTGGTGGGAGTTTAAGCTTTAGTTGAAGCTATCCCGTACGTTTAAATCTTTCTTTGTTATAACTTTATTATATGTGTTATTATCAGGCGAATGACTCCAAAAACATGTTCAGGGGTTTTATACAAAGGTATGCGAGTAGCATTAACGTTGATTTTATACACAAAGAAAGAAAATTAATCCTCCTATTTGGGGAATTTTATAATTTGATAGGTTCAGACTTTTTGTTGGAAAATTAATCAAGATTTATTTGATCATAGCTGTTTGTTCTCGGTTTCTTTTTTGAGTTATCTGTTTTATTTTTAAAAGGATTTATTTAAGGATTTTTTTTTTTTTATGGAAACTGGGAGAAGGCAAAATTTTCAATAAAGTGTTTTTTTCAAGTCTGGAAATAGCTAATGGAAACATATTTAGATAGCTGGTTTTTATTCAGTGGAGCAGTGGGTAGTACTGCTGCCTTGCAGCAAAACATTTCAGGTTCGATTCCTGGCATGGAGTTTGCATGTTCTCCCTGAGCATGAGTGGGTTCTCTCCGGGTACTCCGGCTTCCTCCCACAGTCCAAAAACATGACTGTTAATTGGCTTCTCTAAATTTTCCTTAGGTGTGCGTGAGTGGTTGTTTGTACTGTTTTTCTCTCTGTTGCCCTGCGATGGACTGCCAACCTGTCCAGGGTGTACCCCGTCTCTCGCCCTTAGACAGCTGTAGATGGGCACCAGCACCTCTCGTGACCCCACTTGGGATTAAGAGTGCCAGAAAATGGATAGATGGTTTTTATTAATTATTCCCTTGTCTAAGGAAAGCATCATCTATCTTGCTATTTATATTGATTTCATATTATTCATTTCTTTTGTATTTATTTATTTATTTATTTATTTATTTATCCATGGATCAGTTCATCCATCTGTGTTACTGAAAGTCTGGCTGCTCCAATAAAACTTACTTATTTTCTAAAATATGTTTAGTCGAAAGAGCTTTGCAACCATAAATAAAATAATCAAACTAATCAAAAATCTTCCGATTACTGTGGCTGCCTTCTTGTCAACATATCAGGTGATTTACCGGTGTTAAATAGGGAAGTTAGGTCCCCCCCTGAAGGCGGTTACGCCTCAGAACTTCCCTTCCGGTTCTTTTCCTGCAAGCAAGTTACCTAGTATAATTATTCTTAACTCAAATTTGGTAAAAAACATATAAAAAGGACTATAAAAAAAAGGAGTAAAAAAGTAACAGAGAAATAGCTTGCCATCGGCACAGTGGTGGGCTCAAAACGTCAGCAAGTGTTGGCATCCAGCAAAAATGAGCCCCGCACATCTCCTGCTTCCTATACCTCATGAGTCTGTGTCGCATCAGGTGGATGCTTAGCTGTTCGTGTTAGAAACAGACACGCCATCCATGCCCTGACTTTCTTGCCTCTATGCCTCAGAATTACAGATAGCTCTCCTCTATCAGTCCGGCTCCAGGATGTATCCTTATCCTGCGTATCTTCTACAGACAAGAAGACTGTCCTCATTAGATGGCCTCTGTTGACACAATGTAATCCACCATGTGAAGGAAGGCCTTCTACTCAATCTAATCTGGCTAACAGATTAACAATACACATGATTAATAAAGAATAAAACTAATACTGGTCTGTTTCATGTTCAATATATGCATAACAGCCCTTTTTCTCCCCCCCAATCTTTCAATGCAGACTTCCACAGTAGCCTTCCCCGTCCGGTGGTCCAGTCTCTCACCATGAACTCCAGTAGGAACTGCACCTCAGCGGGGAATGGCAACGGTCTGGCAGCGCTGGAGTCGGTGTCCATAGTGACCATCACGCTCCTGGCCTGTCTGGGGAACCTGCTGATCGTGGCCACCCTCTATCGCAGGCCCTACCTTCTCACGCCTAGCAACAAGTTTGTGTTCAGCCTGACCCTGTCCAACCTGCTGCTGTCCGTGCTGGTGCTGCCGTTTGTGGCTGTGAGCTCGGCCAAAAGGGAATGGGTTTTCGGGGTGGTGTGGTGCAACTTCACCGCCCTGCTCTACCTGCTCATCAGCTCAGCCAGCATGATGACCCTCGGGGCTATCGCTATTGACAGGTCAGACCCCAATCAATGTATACTTGCATTTAAATAATATTTGCATGCATCAGTTTCTAGATGAGATTAATTACGGACCAAGCTTCGATTGGTTTTATTCTTTTTATTTTGCCAATTTTTCTTACATATTTTATTACTTTGGTACATTCAGAAGCCTTATAACTGAAAAAGGTTTATTACTTATACCTTTTACATGGTTCAACATTTTCTTAACAAATTTCAGTGGATTTTAATGCGATTTTATGAGGTTGTGCAGGAATGTAGCAGACGGTCAGAGAGGATGTTGTGAAGAACTTTAGTGAAGTTTCTGTAAAACTATATTCCAAGCTTTAAGTATCTCTCAAGAGAATTGTTCTTGTTTAAAAAGTATAGAGTTAATGGGAAGATGGAAGGAGTTGAAAAAAAAAATGCAGGAAGAAAAATGTGTTTAGAGGCTGCAAAGGACTTGAGACTGGTGTGCACTGGATGATCTGCCAATGGAAGGAGTATTTTTACCCTTAAAATAAGACAATTAGATAATATGCACTTGAAATTACAATGCAATTGTTATTTCTTATTTTAAATGTAATTTGCTTTGTCACATCGACAAAGTGTGTCACTTACCTTCTCAATTCAATAAAAACCGGACCAGGTTTTTATTGAATTCGGACCAGGAGAAGACCCCTGACTAAAGACCCACTGTTGTTGTTTTAACAGTCTGATAAAGACCAATTATTCTTTGTTAAATCAATAAAATAAAGTAAAATTAAATAGTGGGCGGATAAAAGTGGAGATCAAAAAAAGATAAAAGAATAGAATCTTACTGCTGCAGACGCACAGATAATTTTCCACAATTCTGCTTTATGCTGGGGCAGATCATAAATAAGATCTGAGCTCATTTTTTTTCAAACATTTAAAAGTTTAATGTGCAACTCTGGAAAACAGTCACATCAATACAGATTTGTAGGTCTAAGACCATCAGGTATTAGGATAATTGATTTATACACATGACCTGTACTTCAGCATTTTGAACTACCTGAGATCAGTTGTGTTTTCTGCCTGCATGCTGACCTTTCAAAGCTCTGACTGGATTTTCTCAGTAGCTCAGTCCTCGGTGTTCTCATTGCTCTCCTAGTTCTCCTCAGCACCTTGGGGGATTTCTGGTTACACAGCGGTTTTTTTGTTCTCCTGCCAAGCTCCCGTCTGTCTGTTGTTTGCGGCTTTAATCAGAACGCATTACAGACCTCTCAGTGGGCTCCTGCAGCTTTCAGCTCCTGTATCGGCCTCTTCCATCTCAGCAGCCTCTTGGGTTTTTTGGCTCCTATTTGACAGATTTCTTCATTATGTTCCTATTTAATCCCAACAGGTACTACGCCGTGCTCTACCCGATGATCTACCCTATGAAGATAACAGGGAACAGGGCGGCGGTGGTCATCGTCTACGTGTGGCTACACTCCTTAGTGGGTTGTCTGCCCCCGTTGTTCGGATGGTCCTCCTTTGAGTTTGACTGTTTAAAGCGGACATGTGTTGCATCCTGGTCCAGAGACCCCAGTTACACTGCTTTCTGGGTAATCTGGTGCATCCTCCCGCCCTTCTGCATCATGTTGGCTTGCTATGGATTCATTTTCCGCGTCGCTCGCATGAAAGCCAGAAAAATCCACTGTGGGGCCGTTGTCGTAGCCCAGGAGGACTCAGCGGGGGCTCAGAGAAACGGACGCAAGAACTCAAGCACTTCCACGTCTTCTAATGGGAGCAGAAGGAGCCTCGTGTACGCAGGGAGTCAGTGCAAGGCCTTTGTCACCATCCTGGTGGTGATCGGCACCTTCCTCGTGACTTGGGGACCGTACGTTGGAGTGGTGTGTACAGAGGCTCTGTGGGGGCAGGGCAGTGTCTCTCAGGGGCTGGAGACTCTGGTAGCGTGGCTCTCTTTCTGCAGCGCCGTTTGCCATCCACTTATCTACGGCCTGTGGAATAAAACTGTGAGAAAGGAGCTGCTGGGAATGTGCTTCGGCGATCGCTACTACAGAGAGTCTTTCGCCACAAGGCAGCGAACGTCCCGCCTCTTCAGCATCTCAAACAGGATCACAGGTGGGAGAACATAAGAGGCTCTGTGTGTATGTGAACTTTGATGGCATATTTCTACAAAGATATAGTTATTAGTTGGATGTTTCTAATTATTAATGCATTTCTAAACTATAGAAAAGATAGAAAGAGTAACCAGTGGAAGATTATTAGTTATTATATTATTATAATTCTTCACTAACTGCAGCTGTATGGCTCCCATCTGATTCCAGATGGACTTGTTACCCAAAGTACAGGAAGCTGAGTGATAAGGATACAGACAAGTTAAAATCCTCCCACAGATAAAGCATTGTTTTTGTTTCAACACAAAGAATTAATATTTTTGTAAAGACATTTTTTAAATAATCTTTAATTTTCTAGTTAATATGAACACATCTATCCAATAACCATTACTCAAATGCTGACTTTTGTATTCCAAAATCTGCTTTTAATTTATAAAGGAAATAAACCTAATACAGCAGGCATTTTGAATAGAAAGACTGAAGTCTAATAACGTATGTGCTTTATGATGAAAATTGACCTTTTTTATTATTTCTAATCTAGCCCACATTAAACATGCAAAACATGCACAGTTCTATACACATCCCTCTCCTACAGAAAATCTTTAAAGAAATTACTGGTTTGTTTAATTTAAATAGTGCATGCTCTTTTTTTGTGTACAAACATACAAAAGAGAATAGATACAAACCCCGCTCCACAAAAATCCACTTGTATTTTTCTATTTCTTTGGCTCTTGGGTAGACTTATTTTTTAACTGACAGTTTTAGCCCAAGAAAGAAAAGGACAGGAAAGCTTTGCAAGCCTAAAAATAGCTTTATTTCCTGAATGCCTGTTTTTGTACCATCTCATAAAGTGTTTATTTGTTCCATTCAGACCTGGGTATGTCCCCCCACCTGACTGCAATGCTGGCCGGAGGAGGACACCTGTTAGCCCAAGGAAGCAGCACAGGAGACACCGGCTTCAGCTTTACTCAGGACTCAGGTACGAGTTACACACTGGAAGAAACAAATGAACTTTTCTCAAATTGCAAACCAATGATGATTGTAACTGTGTGTAGGTGTAGGCGGCAGCTAAAGAGCAATCCTCTAACCCCTGCTAGCTGTTAATGCTGCCATATTATCCTATGGGTTTCTGCTTATGGTGCAGGGGGAGTTGGTTACTCTTGTTTTGGATTCATTTTAGTGCATCACTACTTTCTGATTAGGTTTCTCCTCCTGTGGAACAACCATTTAATTACATTTAATTACAAATGCTTATCAGTCAATCTTTTCAAGGGCATTCATCTTTCAAACATAAACCTCTGGAAAATGAGGCACAGAAATGAAAATGTTTACAAACAACTATTTGCGATATAAACTACTAACCATTTATTTCTCACTTACTTTTGATTCATGTAGCTGTCATTTCAGTATTTATGGACATTTTTAGATGTAGCTTAAATTATTAATTTATTATTTAGTGAAAATGAATCCTATTCTGTCCTGGTTTTATAAAAATGTGTTTGTTAAAATACTTAAAAAAAAAAAAGTGTTATATCAATTATTTTAAATAGTTGAATTAAGTATTAGTGGTAGGGTTATGAATTCCTGGAATATTTTGGTTGAAGCCCTAAATACTTAAATTGAACTGATTGTCAAATAAAGTTTCTTTTATATATCTATCATTAGGTTTTATATTTAAGCCCACCAATTTTAAGGGTTTTTTTGTTTTGAAAAAAGAAAAAAAAGGATTTTATGGTTTGAGTTGATGACAAAACTGCTGATTTTTGCTATCTGTATTTCTGACTTCTGAGGATTTTTAGGTCAATTGTTCCAACTGTGAAAAATTGAGGTTTTGGTTTGGAAAAACTGCATATTTCAGCCTACTATGGAGTGCTAAGATACAATTTTATGGTAAAAGTCTTTTGTCAGTTGCCTTTAATTGGCCTAGCATTCTTTATACTAAAACTTTAATGTGGTGTTGGTCTGAGAAGACTTTCTACAAGGTTTGGGAGTGCTTTATGGGAATGTCTGACCTTGGCTTGTCCCAATCCGATCCACGTGTCGGATCGGCACGCCGATATTGGCAAAAAAAATGCGTATCGGCAAAGCATGTAAAATGCCGATCCAGACTGCCGATCCAGTTTTTAAAAAAAAATCCGGTCCGTATTTTCCAGTTTCGCCGATTGAAATGATCCATTCCACTATTTTGCGCCAGTGTTTTCCTGTTTTGCATTTTTATTAAAACTTTCAGTAATACTTGCACCTTTAACTGTTTACGGTTTTACTGTTCACTGTGCAATTTCAGATTGCTATTCATAATTTTGTCCAGTTTGTGTTTATCTCTTAATAAACAGGTAAGTTTGTTGTTACCAAGCATTGTGTTTTGTTCAATCTCACCTAATTTAGCTGGCTAGATGTTATCAAGAGTACTAAAACCCTTTTCAACATGAGTCTTACAACTAAGGCTAAATACTTTAACTTAAATACATGCTCGGATAGGCTGGTATCGGCCAGTATCGGATCGGAAGTCCAAAAACAATATCGGTATCGGATCGGAAGTGCAAAAACCTGGATCGGGACATCTCTAGTCTGACCTTCCTTTCTTTAGAGAATTTACAAGGTCAGACACTGATGTCGGATGAGAAGGCCTGACTTGCTGCCTTCCCTGTAATCCCTAACCAAGGTGCTGTATATGTTCACATTTACGATCTTATGAACTTGACCGGTGCACAGTGCCGTCGGAACAGAAGTGGCTGCCTTCAGACTTAGCAGTGAGTCAGGAAGAGTAGTGAGAGTTTTTCCATGGAACTAAGCAGGAAAGCTCAAATACTGGAAAAAAAGATTTTATTTGATACTAAGAAAAGAAACAAGGTATTTCTAATGAGGAAAGATGCCCTTTGCTTCCTTTATGTGATATACTTTTAATTTTCTTGACATTTTGCTCAACTTTTATATTCTATTTCCTTCTTTAACCCCTAAGATTAAAATTAAAATGGCTTTGTGTCTCTAAAGGATTTTTTCAATGCATTAATCTGTCCTTTTTTGTCTAATCTAGTTTTTACCCATAACTGTAAGATAAACTGGCCTCAAGCTGAACTCCAGACCAAAAGGTTCCTTCATTCATTCCTGTCTAACAGCTCTTGTTTTCAGGATGAGTAATTTCTGACTGAATATGTTGTGGTTATTTATTTTTTTTTTTTACTGGGAGGTAATATGTGAAGCCCTGTTTACAGGAAGTCATCCTGTTTGTCTTTAACCGGCAGGCACAGATGTGATGCTGCTGGAGAACTCCTGCACAGATGGCTCCTCCTGGCCTGCGCACCACGGGAACCCATCTGGAAGGAGGCGGAGCTCGGTCACCTTCGAAGACCAGGTGGAGCATTCCAAAGGTATCTCACCATTGGGCATTAGGCGAAGGGAAAATCATAGAAAAAAATATTCCAAAGAAGTGGAAAAAAAACAGGGTGGCACTAAGCAATTTTAATGTTTGTGTTTTGTTTTTGTTTGTTTCATTTCATTTTGCAGCTGAAAACATGTCTTCAGTCCAAATCCATGCAGAGGTCCATAAATCTCTGGACTCCTTCGCCTCCTGCTTGGCGAAGGCCATCGAGAGCGACGCCAAGCTGGCGCTGTTTGAGCAGAGTCTAGCACCGCAGGGGGGGCTCTTTATGACGAGGGGGGTGCAGAAACCCAGATACCTGGACGGTCAGAGACTGAGGCTGGAGAGCATCGATGAAGGCATCGTGAAGGACGACAGAGAGGAGGAGGAGGAAGTGGATGTGGAGGAAAAGCTCATCTGAACGCACTGTGCAGTGTTCTCAGCGATGGGGCTCTGTAGCTGAAGGCAATTGGAAGAGGCGTATAGTCATTCCACCATGTTGGATGTTGGTGTCTTGAAAACCTTTTATATCATTTTTGTACTCTAATAGGAATTTTGTACTACTGTAACCTTATATGATAGGTTTTTGCTGCAGATCTTTTGTCATTATATATTTTTAAAATACGGCATTTTGTCTAAGTTAAAATAAGGAAGAAAATTTATAGTTTTTTCATATTGCCTGCTTGAAAAATGCAAAAAGAATCACCTCGCTTTAGCGCCTCAAGCAAAAAACATCACTGTGCAACAACCTCTGTGATGTTTTCATTACTGTCATGTCTCTTCAATTTTTTTTTTTGGTTGTTTTTTTTTTTTGCTTGAGGACTTGAATAACTGCAAATTTAATCAAATCAGTGTTGACTGGATGCTTCTAAGCTTTGGAATATCGATGTATTTATTTACTTTCAGGATCGGTACAAATCATGTACAGAATAGGATGTATGGACTGAAAACAAAAAAAAGAATTTCCACTTTTCATTCTTGCTTTTTTTAAACCTCAGTCATTATTCTAAATAGGTAAAAAAAAATCGTGGACTTTTTAGATTGATTGCACATTTTGTCAACAATGGTACAGAAAATTGTTAACCAGAAATTGGATGTAGTGAGTTTTCCACTCACACCTGCAGTTTATGCATGAACTCACCAAGCAGGCATAGCTTTATAAACACCAGCCTCAACTGCAGGGGCTTAAAGAGCTTCCAGAGGTTCCTGCAGCTTTTAGAAGCGCCTCTGCTTCCAAATCTTATCAGATGGGTGAATTGGTATGCAGCCATTTTCTCCAGAGTCCTGTTAATGATCTGATTATTCAGTGCAGAACATCGGACCCTAGAGTTCTGAAACTGAAGACTTGTCCTGTAGAGCACTGATGTTAAATCTAAGAGTCCAGGTGACCACCTGAAGTTTGCTTATTGCATAATTCCTAATCCATTTTAGAGCAGTCTGCAGCTGTTCAGCTCCTAATGCAACAAACCGCAAAGCACTACGTATTTTACGTATAGTGTTGGGGGTGCTATGAACCCACACAGCCGCTATCAAGGTTCTTATTAAGACTTGATCAAATACTTCCTCTAACCGCGCAGTGTGACAGGAACTGTGATGAGATGATCTGTCGTCCATTTCATTTGGGGATAATGTTAGGCCAGTTTTGTTTGGTTTTTTTTTAGCCAGAATTTAAAAATGGATTTTAGAAAATCCTAAATTGGATTCATTGTAAATGCTGGAAAATGACCTCAGGAGAAGCTTGGATAGCAAAAAAAAGGAAAATGTTTGAATCATGATTGTATCAACAGTCCTTTAAATAGATTTGCCACATCTTAATATTTATGATTTTGACATTAATTACAATTCATGTTGGGTCATAAGTGTTTTAGTTTCAAATCAGTCTTATTCATAGACCTAAATTGAATTCACAATTTAAAGAACCAATTTGGAGCCTAGGTAATATCTTTTAGTTCATCATAATGTATCATAATACGTTATGATCGTAATACATATCGTAACGGTGCACTAAAATAATCAGTAGGGTTGAAAACGCTTCTAGTTCCATTACATCATAAACAGCTGTCCAACTTCTGTAATGCAAACTAAGGTACTTACCACTAACCTGTTCTCAAGTTTTCCTTTAATGCAATAATGCAAATCATTTAGAACACAGACGGGTACAAAAAATGGTCTCTACAGTCGGTTCTTCACGCCGATATTTTAGAAACCAACTTTGCTGAATTAATAGCTCAAATCTGACTTGAAGACGTGTTTCCGGAGTTACGTGGTTTTTTTTGTTTTTTCCACTTGTATTCTCATCAGGTGGATTGAACCTTATTGTAAAACTCGAGTCCAGTTCTCATGTTTCAGTCTTACCTCATTTGTTTCCTGTTTTTATATTTGGTACTTTCTTTTTATAGGAGAAAATGACTACAAATGAGAAGTGATGACCTTTTACATTTGGATATTTGTATTAAAACGTTATACCAAACTATCTGCTTTGAGTGAAACAATGTTATTTGGAAAACATTGAGATGTGTGCACATGACTGAAGATATAACAGAAATCATCAGTAAAACGATTTCTATTTAGACCACCTCTGGTACTAATGCCTGGATGTCAGACGTATGCATTCATACATGCATCCAACTTCAATATTTAGTAGTTTTGTAAAGTGGAAAGCTGCTTTCCAATCCCTGTCTAGCATCAATAAATCTATTATAGATGATTTTCAAATGTTTATGCATATAAGCTTCTGTTTAGGAACAAAACGCATCTTATATCAACATGATCCCATTCAAGCAGTGAGGGGTGAAGTAAAACAAATCACATGTTAAATCTCTGTAAAATAAGGTGATGTTAGATATACATTTGGTCGTGATTTTTAGCGCCTTTTTTAATTTAACATGAGGCTTTATTTAGAACAGATGATGCAGATATTTTGGCATCATGACTTTAGTTGTAAAACAAAGCAACCTTAAAACTAGAGAATCTTTTTCCCCCAACAAAAATTTGATAAAACATACTTAGATTTTATATACATTGAAAATTATATATTAATAAAGAAATTAAATCCTCTGTTGCCACCATAAGGAGTTCCTCCTGCTATCTTCACTCTGCCTTACCCATCATTGTCTTTAAAGTGTAAATTTGTCTACCATTTCTCATATGTAAAGCTCATAGAGTGGAGTTGGGTCATGCCTGGCATGCCAAGAGAGCTGCTGACCCCAGATTCTTTTTTAACAAATCATTTCTTACTGTTTTAGAAATACTAATACTGCAAAATTTGTAAAAACAAAAAACTTTAGTGTTATTTTACTTTTATTCCTAATTATGTTTGTCTAGCGTAACAATGTTAACTAGCATGTTTTAACTTTGTTTTATATTTCCAAAAATAAACTTTCCAACAAACTGTGGAACAAAACAAATTGCACCTCACAAGTGGGGATAGTGGAAAGGCTGAACCGAAAGTGCATAAGTGCTGTAAGCATGTCACTATCCACATTTACACATCCTCTGTGTTCTGTTTTGAGCACTTTTAAAGTTAAAAAGACAGAATCACACAAGACTAATATTGTTAGAAGGGAAAAGGGATCTCAATACCCTGAGACATGGTGGGATCCTCCATGTCTTACAGAAATAAAGAGCATCAAAGTTCAGTTTTAAATCATATTTTTCATGTTTAATTGATTATTTTAAAGTAATAGTTCATAATAATAATGATTAAAACATATATTTTTTCTTTTCATATAATTTTTTCTTATTTGCTCTAAATTTTTTGAGGGTCCGCCTTAGCCGTAGGTTTTATTAGATTAAAAAGCTTCCCACATAGTGTTTTTTTGGCAAAAAACGTTCAGCTACAAACGGCAAGCATCTGTCATCGTCTGCACTTTCTTAATCCCTGATTTCCAAACTATAAAACAACCGATTTAAAGCTTTGTCTTTTAATTAAAGTCTTTATTAACATGCTTTAAGTGCTGCAGCAGCACATCAACATTTCGTTGCTACAAATTCAAAAATGTCAAACATTAACACTGATCAAACTCACATCCTCCAAACACAAATAATATTGCACTTTAACATCCTTTCACACCAGCCGCTGCTATTCTCTCTCTAGACATACACTTTCATAAACGCATACTGGTGTCCTTTGCAGTCACACAGGTGTAGTTTGTCCTCATACATAAACATTGGTAAGAAAGTTTTTTAAAAAACAAAACAAAACACAAGAGCCTAGAAATAACACTAATATCCAAAAGAAGCTATTCTACACTAGTACAAATCTCGGGGATTCTTTGCAAGTGCTATACAGCCACAAAAAAAAGGTGTTTGTTTTGTTTTGTTTTTTTCCATGAAAATAAAACGCCAACTTGGCTACTGCTCCTCTTCGTTTTCCTGACCGGATCCTTCAGATCGATCACCTTCCAACCGATCTACAAGAAGCAGAAAACGAATCAATATGGAGGAGGAAGATGGGAGGCAAAGGGCTGACAGACATGAGGTTTACCTGATCTGATGTGATTGAGGGACGCCAACATTCGGAGCATGAATGAGGCCGGGACAGTGATTGTGTTTCTGGTCTCTTCCAGCATCAGCTCATTGCGGGTTATGACCTTTTAGTCAAGAGACGACAAAAAAAGTAAAGAAAAAAAAACACAATCATAGCCATATAATCATAAACACATTTAAAACAGGAGACACATTAAATACAGCAATGGGATTTTATCATTACATTGTAGACAAACTGCAATTAAATCATATATTTTGAATTGATCAATTTTCTTTTGGAACAAAAGGCAGGGGAAAAAAATAAGAGTAAAATAATATTTCCTATAGTTTCGCCAAATTTCTTTCAGTTTTTAAACCGTCTTTAATCATAATTTATTGCGGTAACAATAAATCAACATTTTATGACAAATAATACATCAACATAAGGGAATAAAATGACCTCCCAAAACACAGGTCGTACAATTTATTTAAAATTTACTAAGAAAAAATAGTTACTGGGGGCAAAAAATGCCTACTTTACAACAAATAAAAACAATATTGTTTAATTTATGCTAAAAATTTCTTTCTGAATACTAGCTTTTAATTTGTAATATTTAGTTTGTCCACCAGATGGTGCTATTATTCATTCAAAGAATGATAGTTTTTTTAAAAGCTTGCTGCCCGGGTGCCTTACTACGCTCTGACGTTGAGTCACTATTAATCCTAGATTTAAAAAAAAATACACTATATTGCCAAAAGTATTTGCTCACCTGCCTTGACTCACATATGAGCTTAAGTGACATCCCGTTCCTAATCCATAGGGTTCAATATGACGTCGGTCCACCCTTTGCAGCTAGAACAGCTTCAACTCTTCTGGGAAGGCTGTCCACAAGGTTTAGGAGTGTGTTTATGGGAATTTTTGACCATTCTTCCAGAAGCGCATTTGTGAGGTCGCACACTGATGTTGGACGAGAAGGCCTGGCTCTCAGTCTCCGCTCTAATTCATCCCAAAGGTGTTCTATCGGGTTGAGGTCAGGACTCTGTGCAGGCCAGTCAAGTTCATCCACACCAGACTCTGTCATCCATGTCTTTATGGACCTTGCTTTGTGCACTGGTGCACAGTCATGTTGGAAGAGGAAGGGGCCAGCTCCAAACTGTTCCCACAAAGTTGGGAGCATGGAATTGTCCAAAATGTCTTGGGATGCTGAAGCATTCAGAGTTCCTTTCACTGGAACTAAGGGGCCAAGCCC